TCTTTTGCCTGGTGGCTCTCCACCGCCTCTCGCCTCCCACCCCCTGTTCTTCGCTCTTATCCCGCGTTTCCTCTTCGGCTTCCTCTTCCCTCTGTGGATTAGGCCCTCATCTTTCCTTATTACTTCCCCGTCTGGTTCCAGCGTGACCACGAGGCTATGCTAGCCTTGCAAATCACCCGACGGGAGCTGGAACTGTTTTGATTTGGACTGCTTTTCTGACCGGCTTGGACTCCGCATCTCTCCAATCCTGGTCGCCTTAACTTGCACTTTTTCTCACGCACCACCGCACACCACACGCACACCACACGCACACCACACGCACACACTTGGCCTGCGTACAGCGTACATACGTACCGTACTTACATACATACATACACCGATACATACTTACATACGATCGTCCGTTCCGTTCCTTTACATACATACATACAAATAACCCCATACATACACCCATACATACGGACAACTATCCCTGCTCAGCCAACAGCTTCGACCAAACAACCCGCGGGACGTGACTCGACTCTCACATCATCCTGCATTTGTTTTTCCTTTTCCCACCCCCGTCTCGTTCCGTTTCTTAAGCAGCCTTTCGCGCTCTCTCGACTACAAATGTCCAGCAACCCCCACGATTTCAGCGACCCTAATCGACAGGGACAGTATCCACCTCCTCAGTGGAACACTAGTCAACCTGAGGATAACCCTTCCGCTCATTATCCGCCGGCTTCACAATACCCTGTATGTTTCACTCTTTTATACCACACTGACCTTTTTTTTGCGCCGACGGGTTCCCCCGTTTTCTCTTTGTTGTGATACATCAACTTCCCCTTCCTTCCTCGCTGTCTCTAGGAGCCTCATCTTTTCGTCCATTTCCATCGATTCTTGCCTTCCACAATTGAGTCTGCGGTCACTGACACAGTGGTCGCATCCAGTATCCTCCAGCTTCGTACCCTCCACCAAGTGCGGACCACCAATATCCTCCGCCGCCGCAGTCACAGTATCCGCCGCCGCCCAACATGGCTGCCATTCATCCGCATGTTCAGGGCCCGCAAGACCCCTACCGCCTTCCACCGCCCCCTGGTGCTTATCGCCCCCCAGATGTTTATGCTCAAGCACCTCCGCCCCAAGTGGTTTACCAAGCTGCCGCTCCACGACAGCGGACAGCTATCGCTTGTCGTTACTGCCGGAGACGGAAGGTATGCTTCTATAGTGTTGGGCTTTGAGCTATATTGTCCGGTTTTTGAGTAGACAGTTGTGAGCTGACGGTGGTTTTAACGGTAAATAGATTAGGTGCTCGGGATTCGAAAGTTCTCAGGATGGGCGGTGCAGTAACTGTATCCGCTTCAACCAAGAGTGCATGTTCACGCCGGTTTCCTCCCAGGCGCAAGCTTTTGTTCCTGCACATGCTGCCTACCCACACCTGAGAAACGCACAGAACCAACCACGTGGTGGTGCCCCGGTAATGCTTTACGGCGCTCATGGTCAGCCTTTACCACCTCAACAACAACCTCAAGCTCCACCGGATGCCACACTCCCTCCGCCACAGGGAATGTATCCCTATGGCAGTGCACCTCCATCCCTCTCATCCGTGTCTCAAGATCCTGTAAGTTCCAATTCATCCCTCTCCGTCGTAAAAGGCACCCTTACTCACCGGTCCCTTTGTGAACAGAGACCTATTGGCCGTCGTGGCTCTGGTTCTGGATTCGATTATCCGGATCCAACCAATCTGGCACCCGTAACGCCGGCAACATCTGCTCCAGGATATCAAGCGCATTCTGCCTCAAGTCCATACTATCCACCCCCAGCTCAGCATGATCGACGTCCTTCTCCGCAGTCGGCGTACCCTTACGATAATCGCCACTCTTCGTCTCCCCACAATTCACCCTATCCTCCTATGCACCCTGGTCAAAGCGCGATGACTCCCCCACCCACTTCAACTCCTGGTGGCTCATCTCGTGGTGGCCTGAATGTTCGTGATATGTTGAATCCAGGAGACAGCCAGGGTCGTTCCAGCACTGATAGTGATATGCTGAATGCCCTAAACCGGCGGGGCCTGAATCAGTAAGCCCACCATGACACATTGTCGACACTTGCAATGCGGTGATGGTCTGGGTGGGAGCTGGGGTAGATGAGTGAAAATTGGTGCGAATAAATGGGGATGGAGCTGCAGATACCGAATTCAATTTCGTTGGTGGTTGACGCGGAAGGTTGTGTGTGCTGGCCACACGGTCCTCCACACCTCACATGCAAACATTCCTTGATTTTGGAAGGTACAACTGTGCCGTTTGCTATGGGGAAGGAAAGATGGGAAAACATCAAGATCAAAGCAAGAGAGGTATCATGACAAATGCGAGAACGAAACGTACTCCTGTTTCCTCCCGTACCGATGACAGGATAAGGCAACATACGGCGACGACAGAAGATTATGGCAAATACCCGGGTGGATGTTCGACTTGAAGCTACGGCGATGATGAAGGCTGAAAACGTGTCGTTCGCAAGAAGGAAGTGGTAACGATACCTCCAGTGGATGGAATATTTGAGGAGAAAAAAAAAAAAAGAAAAAACAACAAATAACAACATTTTTTCGACTGCTACGAAGCCATGGAAACGAGATGCAAGAGTGTTATGAGCTGCACGATCTGTATAGGGAGTTGTCGGTCATCAATGACTGCCAATGAGGTAGTGCGGATTGTCAGTTTTGCGGATTCAATCGGGCAGGCCTCACACTTGACAGTCGATAACTCGCAATTCTTTTATTTATCACCTAAATTTCCCTTTGCGAAATACAACATCACGGCTTTATAAACTATCTGGGGCAACCCACTAATGGAATTTTCTTTCTGTCGTTATCTCCGTTGTGTTTTCTCTCGGACATCCAGTCTTCCATATCGCTGCATTTTTGGGTTACTTTACGCCGTTGCAAACATTTTAGCCCCCATTTCCGGATTGCTCTGTTTGACCGAGTCGGTACTTGAGATGTCATCCATCGCGTTGTTGGGTCCGGTTTGACAGGCAATCTCCGATAATGCATAATCTGCGCACCGAATTTTCTGGTACATCCTAGAAAGTTTATTATCCCTGTGTATGCGAACAGATCTGGAAAAGTAACCCAAATCGGCGAGTATGGCTCAGGCAGGATAAAGAGAATGAGTGTTGTATGCATTGGACATGGATACCTCTCAGCGTCGACTATCACGGAACCAATCATGGTGTGGGATTTTGCTGCTTTTACCTCTCTCGTCTTTTCTTTTGATGGACCATTTTCGATTCTTTTTTCTAGCGGCAGTTGTTTCATCTTTCTTAGTGTTCCTATACATTTCGGGTGGCTCTCTGTTGTATTTTCATGATTTGTGCCATTTTCGCGGCTTGTTTGCGATTTGCTTGTTATTTGTGATCAAGGTATTTGCCATTGCGAAAAAGGAGGTCATCTTTTTCTATTGTTTTTCCCCCGTCTTTCTATTTGCCGTCATAACCTGTTTTGTGTTACTTGGGAGGCTGTCTGATCAATTTTTGTTTTTATCTTTTTATGACTCGCAGATTCCAATGCTTGTTGATTTTGGTTTTTATATTGCATTGTGCATACTTTTCCTTCGAATGCTATGGTCTTATGAGTCTTTCTTTCTCGAATTCTAGTACAAAGTAAGTACCTATACAAGTTAATAGTATCTTTATGCCATTAGAGTAGCGTTTGTACATCTTCCACCACTTGACCCAGGGATCTAGATTGCTTACAGTATGATCATTCTATGCGAATACCTGTCTTCTGCAATCCAATGACACCCATACCATTCCATTAATTTCCCTTGGAGACAGGAATCACGAAGATATCAATTGATTTATTCCTATCTAAGTTATTTCCTATCTAACCTATTGCAAGGCGCTTCCTGTAAGCCAAGTATGGAAGATAAACGAATGGTAGGTATCCTGGAACTGGTGGACCTCGGGACAGGACAGATGAGGTGTTTGCTTTGTGTCTGAAGGGGCAAGACTGCATGAGAATGAAGGAGGGATATTTGTCGAGAAATTGCAAATGAGACATGAACGAGATGCATTCTGGGTTTTAGGTTGAGACCGGTGTTGAACGAATGTGGTGTATGACATAGGAGATGGTTGAGAGTATAACGAATGGGTTTTCGATGAGTTGGAGTGAACAGACAAGTGCAATACCGGTACGTAAAAGAGAGAAAATGGATGATACAGAAACAGACACATCGGGATAGAGAAAGAGAGACCGGACTCCATCGAGTAATTCAAAATTCAGATCAAAAGATGATATCACGAATGCAAACAAAACCGATGCCGACTTCGGGTGTATAAGATGGAAAATGTGAATAGGGTATTATTAGAACAAATATTTCGTTCTTCTGTACCTTTCTTGTTGGTAGAAGATGTTGGGGGTATGGAAGTAAACAGATTTCATAGGAAGATAGAAGGTTGCAAGCTAGTGACTCGGCTCATTTCATTCACCTTGAAGATCCTGGTATTTATCAAGTACCTTCATCATCTGCTGCGCACGAACTGGGTCTTCGACTAGCAGCCCGCGTTGCTTCATGTAAAATTTGAGGGTGTCGATGACCTGGTTGAAGGATGAGGCTGCGCCTCGTTCTTGTTTGAATCGTACCAGGCTGAGGTTGCCTCGTCGGCCGTCTTCGAGGACAGTGTAGAACTCAGCGGAAAATGCAACAGGGCGGATGCGACCCACTGGATAATAGTTAGGATACTGGAATAGTGTGCATAGGTATGATGTTCTTGACTTACAGTTGGAACTGGAGACTTTTCCGTGGATTATGCCGTCGGCTTTGTCGTAATGGACATTCACTCCGAAGGGCTTCCATTCCCGGAGGATCTTGTGCACTTCTTTTCTGCCTTTCAGTTTTGAGGTGTTGAGGGCGACGGCCTTGGTGGCAGGGGTGAAATAGAACATGCGTGCAAACCAATTTACAGGCTTGCGTGAGGTACCTGGTCTTTTGGGGAGGGGTTTGTCGGCGTTTACCAAGCGAGTATGTTCTGTGGACTTGTTGAGTATGGGAGTTGTTTCTGTGGTATGGGAGTCTGGTACAGGTTTGTCAGACGAGGTTCGTGTGGTATTGGTTTAATGGTACTGACCTATTGTAGGGTGCTTGCGATTACTTGCTTTCCCCTTCATGAACTTCCTGAAGAAGCCTCCTTTGCTCTTTCCTGTTGGTGTCTCCGACTGATCAGTTGAACTGTCTGTCGAGGGGTTTACCTCATGCACAGTGACAGTTCTGTCGACTGGGTGTAGCGGTTTCAGATTCTTGCATGCAGATTCTATGGGTGGTTGGTACTTGATAGGTAACCACGACCACTTCTTGTTGTCGGGATATCGCGCTGCGTTGCGCTTCTCTGACTTTGGCGGGATTTCTGCGATAGGATCAAGCTCACAAGGACGGTGGGAATGGAAGGAGTTCATGGAAGAATATCTGCATGGTGCAAGATTGTCCTCGTTGGAGCCGTCCGCAAATGCCTCGTGATCATCATTAGGGGAGGGATCTTCGCTTTTCTTGCGGATTGTCAGAGGTTGGATAGTTTCTAAGGAAGGTACAGAACTTTGAGGGACCATTCGGATGGTTCCTATGCCATTCCGACTAAGGCGACCTGTGTTGGTGCCAGTGCTCGTTGTTAGACCAGGTCGATAAGGCTTGTATTGTTTTTCACCATTGCTTTGTCGGTTGTGGAGTTCTTCTGATATTTTTGGCAGGCCACCGGCATCCTGGGATGATACACTAGGTTGTGCAGCCGGTTCATTAGCATCTTCAGGAGTATAAAGCCGCTCACGCTGCCGCTCCTTGTCCTTCTCGATTAGACGGTCAAGATGCTTGATCACAGCTACAAGGTATCCAGGAACGCCCTCGGTGCCATCCCGAGTGGAATGGTCAATGAGTTTGCGCCGCGTTTCAGTCAATTCAGCAGCCGTAAAAGACCTTGGGGACTCTCCACAACGTGAAGGTGTCACCGGAGCTTTTGAATTGCTAGTAGCGATACGACTATGTGATGCTTCAGGACTAGCCATTGACACGGACGTTGCGGGGGTCTCTGCGCTCATGCATGTACTTGTTGTTGTGCAGCCTGTTGATAATGAGGCGCGATTAAAGGCCTCCTCGCAGATTTGGCTAAGCTCATGCGAGACCTGGCGTGCATCATCCTTCCAAATGAAATCTGACTCGCGCACCTTCTTCTGGGGTGCGCACGTCCTCAGGGCAACACCGGGCCTTCGGACCACAGCTGGTTGGGCAGGCAATAGTGGGCTACTTTCCCGATCAGCAAAGGGGCCAGCGTCTATGGACACCAGGCTGTTCTCGCTCATCTCTTTATCTGGGACATTTACAGGGGCTCCCTTCGTTTTCGTTGCAGTTGTCGAACCTTGCGAACGGTTTCGCACGTGGCGGAAACAAACATTTCGCTTGTAGCTTGCAGAACGAGGCGCCGTCACACCGTTAAGTTGTCGTCGGTTGCCAATATGTGAGGTTCTTGAGTGGAAAGACTTCAGAGAGCTCGGCTTTTTCTTGTTCTGTATAATAGCAAAAGGAGAGCTCGGAGGGCATGGGGTTTGATCCCCAAAGTCTTCTTCAGATATGACGCTTGCCTCTGCAATTGCATCTGATTCTTCCCTTTTGCCTGCATTTTCCGGAACGTCCCTATGGATTGTAATATGGGTATATGCTTCTTTTCCGGACACAACATGACATGGTGAACGGAAGGGGTCATAGCTGCCGACGGTTGCGCAGGATTTTGGCTCTTGAAAAGCACTGCGTCTTAATTGAGCGGCTTTACCCATGGGGACTTGGCCACGTCGTCGAGATCCTCTTGAGCGGCCATTATCCCGTGGGCTGAACGTCCCACTTGAATCCCTAGACATGTGGTGATAGTCACTGGCTGAGTACTCAAGAGACTGACCTGGCCAGTTCTCCAAATTCTCATCTCTGAACCTGACTAGAGCATTGTAAAACATTCTCTCAAGTGTCGGTCTATTGTAGGGGTTGTCAATATTAAAATTCTCCTACATGCACCGATCAAGCAGTAGAGTGGAGCTATATCGTAGCGAACCGAACTTACTCTGGATCCAATAGCCTTTCAATCAAAATCTCCCTTTTCACGTCGTGCCATAATGTTTGAAGGTTTCTTAATATATCAGTTTCCGACTCAAGTTCATGCCTGCTAATGCGCGGTCCACACTCCTGCACAGACCACGAAGGTGCAGGACCTATGTAAGGATTAGACATTACTGGGTCCAAGCATTCATATCTCCTCAAGAGAGGATGCTTCCAAACATCCGCCATATCAATTCGTTTTTCTGGCTTTTTCTGAAGGATCTTGTGAATGAGATCCGCCGCTTCGGGACTCACATCTGGTGGGATCTCGACCTTGGCTGTTTTCACCAGTTTTAATGTGTTTCTGATGTCGTCATGGTCGTCAAATGGCAAATAACTGGTCAGCAGAGCAAATAGGATAATACCACAGCTCCATAGATCAGCCTTATCGCCGCGGTAGTCTTCACCTCTAATAATTTCCGGGGCAGCATAATGCGGACTTCCGCATGATGTTTTAAGCCAATAACCCGCCGGTTGAAGGGCCGCCATTCCAAAGTCAGCAAGTTTCACGTTGCCCTGCGAATCCAAAAGAATATTTTCCGGCTTCAAATCTCGGTGGCAGATACCGAAGCGATGGCAGTATCCAAGGCCAGCAAGTATCTGTCGGAATAACTTGACTGCTTCGAATTCCTGAAGTGGTCCATGTTTTGTTATGTAGTGGAACAACTCCCCGCCCTCAACGTATTCGAGTACAAGATATCTGTCGGATGTCAGTGCTGCTATGATGGAAGTCTGAAGGCACACCTACATTTCACCTCTATTCTCCCACACATCGTACAAACGGACGACGTTTGGATGCTCAATAAGTTTCATGATGACGACCTCCCGCTCGATTCCAGATGGCATTTGTCTGGTCCCCGATTTACCTCGAAGTCCTCTATTCCGGTCCATTGCTGCAATACTGACACTCTGGGTCATCGCTGCAGATGTCTTCGACACTATCTTAATTGCAGCAGTTTGTCCAGTATACTTATGCTTCGCTAGCCGCACCCGACCTGTTGTTCCTTCCCCAAGATTCTTCCCAAGTTGCCATGGTCCGATATGGGTTTTCCGCTTTCCCTGGTTTGAAATAACTGAGTTCGCTGACAGGGTTGAGTTTCGCTTAGATGAAGTTTTCGGGTTCGCCGTAGGCGAAAGACAGTTGTTATCTACATAACTTTTTTGCTCAGGTGGACTAGTCACAATAGACATCGGTTGTGGCGAGCTCAAATAATGAGGATCTCCCATTGATTCTTCCCCTTGTATCAAACTTGGGCTGGGACAATTATTGACTCTGTTGCTAACATCGACAAGCGGCGCACGTACGGACTCCGAACTAAGAGGGACAGCCTTTTGTTCCATTGCCATGTAACCACAGGCTAACACGACAGGTGGATAAAGCCACAGTCAGGCCACATGTGCAAATTATCTTCGATAAGACTGTACATCGTTAGAGAGTGACTCCAAGTCAGATTTCCGACTATACATAGGCGTCTTCGGCTTACCCTTAATCGACGCGACTTTCAGAAAGCGATGTAAGAAGTGACAAGCAATAAATATACCTGTTCCTTCCAAGAACTCCCGTTTAACAAAGCAGAAGAGCGAGTTTGCGAGTTATGCTTTTCAGTCGCTTTAGTTTAGTTCATCTCAAAGCCGTAAAACAGATATGTATCAGCGAGTGCACAAATAAGGAGCGTGGTGTATATTGCGACACGGGTCGACGGCAGTATGCCTTTGGGCTGTTGTTGTCTTCACGATTCGGAGAGTACCAGAGAAGGATAACACACAATCTTCAACGCGCCAGAGTGATCCCAAGTGCAAATGTTCCAGGGAGCATACTCAATCCCCACCCATAGCAGACACGGCACACTAGTTGAATTAGAGCATACCATGTTGAGGTCAATTTCGGTACGTGGAATGAGCGTTGAAGTCTTTGTTTCCTTTGGATTCCTCAGGTCTCCCCGGTATCAGTCGATATCACCCTCTGGAATGTACAACATTAACCCTCCCTAATTCCAAATTTTAGAGCGTAACATGCTCGACCCGAATTCTATCATCATACAAAAGTCTATATTGTTCAATATTTAACTCTAGACGTTTCAGATGTACTCGAGCACGATTCAGTTGCAATACCGGACCATGATGGACTTGAAAAGGTGAACAGCGGTAGTACTTGGACAGCTACCGCACCCCTTGCTCCCAGTAGCATACAGAAGCCTCCACCAGGGATATCCTCGTGTCCTCAGTCATAAGGTACATTGGCCGACACTGAGAGGCTACACAGTGGCTGGCTTTGTTCCAGTCGGTCTACATTCCTCCCTTTGGGCTTTTCAGAAGCGCTGCAGATTCTCGGCAGTAAAAGCATTATCTTGCATAGACCTCAGCATCTGTCCCTTTCTTTTTATTCCTCCTTCTATCCTTTTCTTGTTTTACACAACAACATCCTTGATGGCAAAAAATCAGCATTAGGTTTGGGAAAGGGGGGGGGGGCTCTGAATCAAGGGATGAAGGAAGGACATTCAGCTAAAAGGACTAGTATCCTGATACCGCGAACGAGACATTCCAGGCATGCTCGTCACCTGCAGATAAATACCCAGAGATCGATTAAAGCTACGCTGGGTTCTTCTTGGCGATCAGGGAAGATGCACCTAAATGATAGGTGAGCTAGCTTCAATCTAAAGGGATGAGTCAGAACTTGGCAGTATAAATCAATATGCCAAACAGTCGGAGACTATGGGAGGCCGGTGTCATAATTGACTTGGCATGTCACTTTGTAAAATTGCGCAACAGTTAAGTCGAATCGTGCAATAAGAATCGGTGTGGTCGAATAAGCTCGTCACCAATGTTCCTCACTAATCACGACATCTTCAACGTCAACACCATCGACAAACCACCTCCCTTCCCCGTTCCCATCAGGCCCCAAAACCAGGTCATTACCACTCATCATCCTTTTCCTCGTCTTCCCCGTTTCTCGGTCAAATGTCCAGTCCTCGAGGCCATAGCAGCGCTTCCAGCGCATCCCATCTTGAACATCTTGGTATTCATACCAGAATTGCACCGCAATACGGTCGTCAGAGAAGGAAAACAACTCCTTTCGAAGCCTGTAATTTGCTTCACGATTCCATTTCGCAGTTAAGAAAGAGATAATGTTATCCGTTCCGGAAAAGAATGAAGTACGATTGCGCCAAACGCAATCTGGTGTATAGGCTTGAGCGACACGTACTGGATCTCTAGTTCACATATTGTAAGTAGAGTACAACAAGTTTTTCGACATAGTAAACTATACCAATGCGACTGAAACTTGAAAGAGAGTATGAAGGGGAAAGAGCGATGCAAATGAAGTGGGGACAGATGATTTTAGCCACGAGGTGGTCGCATAACTGCGAGCAAGGGATGAAACACCAAAACCATGGCATGGGGGGATAACTATAGTCTCTCGTGCCAGCAGCATGGGATAAAATGCTATGAAAAATCCCTACATTTAAGGCCAAGCACGAAGGGCTAGAGGGATGGTTGCTATTCGAGCTCAAAGTAGAGTATACTTACTGGGTATTCCACAGATTCTGTGCTGCTTTGACCTTTTTTCTTGCCGACTCCTCGGTAAATGGTGGATTGATGTCAGCCATATTGATCCAACGCACGACCTCAACAGCGTATAAATCCTTTCTCACCAGTGTATGCGCATATCAGATTAAGCCACAGTAAGACGTTAGTAAGTGATGTGGGACATGTATATAAGCCTTGTCACGTGTCAGCCTTATGCAAGTTATCTTTTAGTCTTATCTTAGGTACGTTCAATTAAAGCTATGGGGTTGCACTTTGACACCTTTCGGCCGATACATAGAGTTCGGGATTTAAAGCGTAGTCGACATCAGAACCACCCTACTACAATCCGAAACCACCGCAGTGGTTACCAGGTAGATCAGGTTCACAGACGAGGTATAAGGCAAGTACCCAGTACATAGAGAGCTATTCTATTTGTGGAGTTATCTTTGTCATATGACATCATAGTAGGCTTCATCTGTAAGAGCTTCCAAAGCAACAGCACGTACATTTTGACTTTTATGCACCAATACATCCTTTCTTCATTTATATACAGAATATACAGGTAAAACCTTTTGTTGGCTTCGAGTTTAGGTACTCAAATTCTGCGGGGTAAATCATAAAGTACATATGCCGGGATTCAACTAGCTCTTGATAACATGCCGCAGGAGTGCGTACCAGGGGGCTGATGGCCTATAAGCCATCCACATTGGATGGAAAGTGGGTTGTTATAGATATGTAATACTGCTGTGGGTTCAGAGCTTCATTCGCGTCTCTGGTGAGTTGGTATCTGTGTCGGAGGCGGTACATATATATATATTCATTTCCGTGTCCACGAACTGCAACAGTGTTTAAGATTTTAGCCATGAGGAATCAAAGATATATTAAGAAAATTTATATCCTGTAAGACGCCAAGCTAATGAGGGCATACTACAAAAATAGCATGTATAAGCAAACATATCTGAACTTCACAGAACTCATGAAAAGATACAGCCTTACCAGGATGTGGCCATTCCCTCTTCAGTTCCCGGTGGCTTACTAATCTTCAAGGTCGTTAACAATCGACAAGTTATTGGCTCAGCGTGTCCAGATAAGGGGTGTGTTGCTTCTAGAACCTCACTGATATGTAATCAGGAACTAGGCTATCCTTTGCCCAGACCTACGGAGTAAGTTAGACCTAATTCTTATGTAAGCCCTGGGGTTGGAGTCCAGAAAGGTTACCTGAATTCGGCATCTGTACAGATTAGTGCTTTAAGGCGGCGAATAACCGACTTCTTCCAAACGAAGCCTCCCCCTGATTCCTCCTGATGGAACTTCGAGTAGTAGGACAAATCTTATCAGATCTTTCTTTCTCCGTATGGTTCCCCTCTCTCGGATGCTCGCTCCGAAGTTGTTCAGGTCCGAGTGGCAAGATAGCTGAACTTAGTTTACTGTGTACCAGACAGATTTGTCCTTGATTCTTTAAGAGCCAAAGAAAATAAAAACTGAATGTTCTATGACATAGCATTTCTCCTTTTTCACCTTTTTTTTTTTTTTTTT